ATATTATAATAACTTAAGGCAAGATGTATTTAATTCCTAACTTAATAATCAGTATTATTATTAAATAATAATATTAAAAATAAAATATATATCACTATTTCACCTATTTGATTAAATTTTTGTAAAACTTCCTAGATTATTTTACTAACTATTAATATTATAGAATACTTGATAATTCTTCTATCTACTTCCTAAGATATCTAATTGACTTTAATTAATAAATAATGTGTCGAATATTTACAGAGTAATGTAATAGCTAAAACAAGTAATACTATTGGATTGGATGTGATAAAACTATAATCATCCATTCGAATATATACATACATATATATAAATATTTAAGATGTATAACTCTATAGAAATAACTATTATATATATAAATAAAAGTAACTAAAATTTAGTAAAAAGAAAAAATTGTAACAAACCTAATCGAAGGATACGTGAACACATATGAGTCTCCAAATATGTTTAAAATGAGTCTCTAAATATTTTAAAATTAGATTAGGGTTATCACTTAACATTCTCAGCCCTGTGTATTTATATGGAATAACAAACACAGTAGGAGAACTCGTTATTCCATGTTTTAAAAAACTCGTTCAATTTATTAACAGAATCCCAACAAGTACTAAAAACTCGTTCAATATATTACAAGTATAAAAATCAGCAGAATCACATTAACAAGTATGAAAATATATTACAAGTTTAAAAATCAGCAGAATCACATTAACAAGTATGAAAGAGAGTGGTGCATTTAAAAACTAGTTTACCAGAATCCCTACAAAAGAAAGTGTGTGCACTGTACGACGAATTTGACTGTTTCTATTATTACTGTCAACGTTGGTATTGAGGGAATCAGTTATTCAATTAACTACAAACAAGTGGCATGGACATTTAACATTGACATTGAGTACACTAGAGATGCTCTTAATATCTACCGTCCCTCCTCAACGATTTTGCTCTTGACATAATTTCATAATTTTAAAACAAGTTTCACTCTCTCTCAAACTGCCACCTCGCCATCCCACAAAAGAAATCCAAATAAATGGAATAACCTCGCCACGGCCGAGGCAAAGGTCTCATGATTCCTCTGGTATGTTTTTTTTTTCGATTAATAAAAATTTAAAAAAATAAATAAAACTTTAGGCCGGACGCCGATTGGGGTTGGCGCTGGCGCGGCCGGTTTAAGGCTTGCGGTCGCACCGTAGACGGCCAACATTGGTGGTCAGCTGGGCCCAAAGCGACAGCCATAGCCAGAATTTACTTTTTTTTTAATAATTGAATTATTTATATGTATAAATGTTTAAAAATAGAATTGACTTAATTTTTTGATTTAGGTTAATTTAGATAAATTTTAGTTTAGTAGTTATTAATAATATACTATTTATAAATAATATTATATATATTACTAAAATGTAATTATATTAAAATTATGATAATGTTAATTTTTAATAATGGTAATTATTTATAGGATAATACATTTAACTTTAATATTTTTAGGAACCGAATTAATTGTAATATATGTGATAAAATGATTTGTTGAGTAACTATTAGTTTCAAAACTTATAATATAATTAGTTCTAATATAAGTTGAAAAAATTGTACAATTATATTAGTTAATGAATTAGTATAACTATATAATCAAAAAGTAGAATTATATTAATTATGTGGTTACAAATAATTATTATATTATTTTTTAATACTTTTTAGAAAAATAATTACTTGTAATATTTAATCATGTGTTTTAGGAAATAGTAATAATTAATAATATTAATTATGATTAATTTGCGTAAATATTAGTAGTAAATAGTTCAGTATAATTATTTTGTAATAATTAATAAAATATATGAATTTGAAAAGGTTGTTTACTAATTATTAGTTTACATTATTGATTTAGACTGGTGGTAGACCTACGCGACAGGCCACCGATGCAGAGGCTACCGAGTTTTAAGGTTATGGACCCCGACACACGAGGAGTTGGTATGTAGATGCTTCTACTCGTCGGGCCAGAGAAGTTGAGCTGATGCGTCAGATTCGCGAGAGACATACTGGTCACGTTGTCCAGGCTGGCGGTTCAAGACGCCTTGCTCCGGTACAGACCGGTCAACAGTCTCGCTTCCAGCAGCGGGATAATTATTATGAGTCGACAACCGAGAGGCTGCAATTCTCAGAGGATTCAGAGGACTTTGACCCTACATATGAGTAGGACCTTCTTCCTCCTTCCCCACCACAGGCTCGTGCACGACCTGCTCCTCCACGAGTTGGGGGTCATTTTGCGAGCACTAGATCCTCAGGTAAGCCTCGAGAGAAAATGGTTGTAAGTGGCTGGACCTCGGTGGCTCCCTTTCCCAGGCTCGCGCGCGTGCGGACGGCCAAGGTGAGTTGAGTTTGACTTTCTCTCAATATGTCCGAGTGTTTATGAGTCCAAGAGAAAATGGGCTGGAGAGCGACCCTTATATAGGTTGAGGGGCGGAGTTAGCTAGGTGGGATGGTGGGAGACCAAAATGAGTGCATTTTCCCACTCCACATGCACATAGGGACTTGGGAGCTGATGGGCAGCATCTTGCACGGTTTTTGGAGAGCTTCTCAGGGTACAAATGCTGAGGGAATAAGTCAGGTCAGGTGTGGTCATGAGTGGGAGACAATCCCTTACACATTAGATTAAAATAATCACATGTGCACTCCACTAACTTAGGCTAAGGACTATTGATTATTCTTAATACTTTCTTAGGGCCATCTTAGCTCAAAATAATCCTCATTAAGTCCTTAATAACCGCAACATTTGGGTCTTGAGGAAAGTGGGCCGAAACTTCAAGAATTGGGCTAAAAAAGGTGCGCTGTCGCGCTGCCAGCGCTGGGCCTGGGCGCGGCGCGGCACTGGGCCTGGGCGCGAGAGGCCTGCTGGGCGCATGACTGCTTG